GTTGGAAGGTAAGACAGCTTGAACGTGAACGAAAGCGCAGCAACCAGTCGGCGGTGTTTCAGGCTGGGGAGCCAGGCGCCTGGGCCAATCACCTTCAGTGCCTTGTGCTGGATTTTGTCCAGTCTGGATGTACCTGACCCCATCCACACCAGGCAGCAGTATTCCATTGTTGGCCGCACGAAGCCTTTGTAGACTGCCGTGCGGCCGCTGGAGTCCAACAGGGGCGCAACCTTTCTCAGGAAGTGTAGGCGTTGGGCAGCCTTTGAGGCCACGGCCCGGACGTGTGCTGCGTAGGACAGTTGCGAGTCGAATGCTATGCCCAGAAGTTTAATTTCCTTCTCTTCAGGAACAGTCACTCCATTGAAGAGCACTGGTGGGAACGCTGGGGGAGGCTTGCGGTGGTCGATGATGAGGGCCTGAGATTTGGATGGCTCGAAGGTGACCTTCCACTTGGAACCCCAGTGGGAGACGGCGTCCACTGCTTCCTGGAGTTGTGCTGCAGAGTCGGATATGCTGGCGGTGGCAGAGATGCACTGATACAGTGTCGTGTCATCTGCATACGTGGCAAGCTCAGCACCAGCAGGCAAGGTGTCCTCGCAGTCATTCACGTACAGGAGGAATAACGTTGGTCCAAGGATGCTACCTTGTGGTACCCCTGCTTGGATATGGTGCAGGGAGGACTCTTGGCCGCCCACAACAGCCTGCAGGCGCCGGTTGTGCAGGTAGCTTTCCAGCCATCCGAGAAGCGGGCCGTCTAGACCGTACACGGAAGCCTTATGCAGCAGGCCAGCATGGCTGACTTTATCAAAGGCGCCTGCTATGTCTATCGCCAAAACATGGGCGGCTCCTCCAAGGCCGGCTGCTCGGGACCATTCACAGTGGAGCTTGGTTAAGACGTCGGCTGTGCTCAGGCCCTTTCTGAACCCGAACTGTTTCGCAGAGATGACATTGTGGGACTCCACGAAACTGGTTATCTGACGATTGACAATTGTTTCCATCACTTTGGATATGATAGACAGCAGAGACACAGGTCTGTAGTGTTGAGGCAGGTTCTTGGATTTCTTCTTGTGAATGGGTGTGACTCTAGCTGTCTTCCAGGATGTCGGCATAACCATGCTGTAGAAGCTAAGGGAGAACAGTTTGGAGAGTGGCTTACTTAGGGGGTCGGCACACATCTTCAGAACTCGTGCGGGAATGCAATCCGGTCCAGTAGCTTTCGATGCATTTAGGCGGCGGAGTTCTCTCTTGACAGTGGCAGGGCGGAACCGAACCGTTGAGAGCTTTTCAGCCGTGCGCTTTGTAACGTGGGGGAAATCAGTCGCTGGTTGGTTCGCGGGGAAGTCGTCGGCGCCCAGGCTGCACTTTGAGGCGAAATACTGCCCAAAACACTCAGCTTTTTCGGCATTCGATACGCATTCCAAACCAGGCTGCGGCGTAAGAGTTGGGATGGACGTGTTTCTGCTGCTGCCACCTGCTTGCTTGATGGTAGACCACCACGAGCGGTCACTCAGGCTAGCTTTGGAGAGCTTAGTACGCAGGGTAGCCAGGCGGGCCACCTTGGCATGCTGGAGGATGTCATTACAACGTAGAGTGGCTGCTGAGGCTGTCTGCCGCGCTGCTGTTGACTTCTGCCGTCTGGCAGTAGCCCAAGCCCTCTCTTTTGCTTTTATGGCATCCGTGCACTCAGGGGTCCACCAAGCTGGATCCGTCGGCCGGGATGTGAGTTGCCGGGATGGGATGAAACGTGACATACCCTGGAGGATAACTTCGGTGATGTTGGCGCACGACTCATCAGCGCTGGTGGTGAAGGCAGTTGACCAGTCATAGGCTAGGAAAAAGTGACAGAGGCGGTTCCAGTCTGCTTGGTTGTACCGCCAGACAGTGCGTGTGGTTTTTGGTTCACGGAACGCAGAGATAGGGAAGTCCATGGTGAGGACAGCGTGGTCAGAGGACCCCAGTGGGGCATGGCATTTCACCTGAACGGGTTCACTGAAGTCAGACATCACAAGGTCCAGGGTGTTGTCTCCACGTGTGGGGATGTTGACATGTTGCTCCAGGCCATGAACATAGCAGAGTTCCTCGGCTGCTTCTCCTGCCGAGGTAGTCTTGGTGCTCCCTAGCCATGCTGCATTGTGGACATTGAAGTCCCCTGCGAGGATAACATAGTCACCGTGGCTGCGGGCCTCATCTAGGTGGGTATCAAGGTATTCGATCAGCTCGGTGTCTGTCCCGGCTGTGGAGCCTGATCGGTAGAGTGCACAGATAACAATCTTGGACCGGCTAGCTGTTGATACAGATATCCATATCACTTCGTGGTGCTCTGTGCTGAACCGGTCCAGGTGCTGGAAGGCCATGTTTGATTTCACCCAGATGGCAACTCCGCCTCCATGAGCGTTTCTGTCATGTCGGATTGGAGGAGCGTATCCGGACAGACAGACCTCACTGTCAGTGACCTTTGCGGTTGAGAATTTTGTCTCTGTAACAGCGATGACATCAGGTGAGGAGCACTTTGCAACATGTGCAAGTTCACCAAGCTTTGACTTTAGGCCAAAAGCATTGGTGAGTAGGAGCCTGAGGAAGCGCTTCATTGGTGACCATGTAGGTCATGTTGTGGCGCAGATCCGTTTGATCTCTTCAGGTCTCCAGCCTCTGGTGGGGAGAGGTGGGAGTTTCTCCGTTTTTGGCCACCAGGCAGTGGAGTGGAGATGATGTCTGCCGGTGGTGGTGGCGGCGGTGGTGGCGGCGGCGGCGGCGGGGAGGAGGTTGAGCCCTGCTGCTGTTGTTGCTGTTGCTGTTTAGTCAGAACACTGGCAGAGGTGCTGCTTCTGCTACTGTGGCAGCGACTGCTGGTGCTGCCCTCAGGGCTGGTTTCAGAGAACCTCCATGGCCTGCAGTATAGGGGTCTTGGCCAGAAGTTGGGCGCTGTAACTGTGGAGAATGAAGTGGCATCGATGGTCACTCTGGCGGAAGCACGCCCACTTTCTGACAGCCATACACTGCAGGTGTGGACAGGAATAGAGGCGCCCAGAAACTCACTCCTGGTTTTGATAAATTGCCTGAAGTGGCTCTCAGTGCTATCTGTGGCGATATTGCCCACGTACACTACGGCACGCTTGTTCTTGGGTGGTTCTGAGGAGACAAGCTTCCATGAGTCATCCTCGATAACATGGAAGATTGGCTTGCCGTTGGACTCTGTCACATCTGTCTGAGACTTGGACTCTGTCACATCTGTCTGAGACTTGGACTCTGTCACATCTGTCTTGGGCTGTGACTCAGAACACTCTGCCTTTGCCAAGTCACCGCTTCCCTGGGCCTGGGGGCCGTGGGGCTTTCGATCCGCGCTTGTGAATGTGACGCCAGTACGTGATACGGTGCTGCTGGGTTCCATGTGAGCTGCAGCTTGCTTGGCGCTGCGTTTGCTGGCACGGGTACTACTGGTACTACTTTGCGTACGATGTACGTCTGCTTGAACTGGTGAGCTGTTTCTCGTCGTCTTCGACTGCATCCAGGCAATGGCGGAGTTTTTTGAAACAACTAACTCTTCCTTCAAATCTTTTACTTCCGCTGCCAGCTCACCAATTTTGCGTTTCATCCGCGCTTCGCGATCAGCAGACTCGGTCGCGAACTTTGCCAGCGTTTGCATCACTGCAAGGAGACCCTGCTCAATCCCCAAGAGGGTGCAAAGCAGCTTCGTCACGGCCTCAGCAGAGAGCTCGCCCATGGCGAAGGGTTCCTGCCTGGCCCTACCTAACTATCTAGACTATCCTACACTATTTCTACTACTACTACTACCCACCTAGCTATCTCCAGTCCGGCCTGATGCCGGCTGGGATGTCCAAAAAAACGAAAAGCTACGAGCTTGAAAAACGCGTGCCACACTCGTAGCTGCAAAAAAAGGAATGGTGATGTGAGTAGTGACTTCTCGGGCCCCGGTCGCTACAAATGGTAACAAGAGTCCATAACCCAAGAGTATGCAACTGTGATTATGGGTGCATGCGTGGCGCGCTGCCTTCATTACGTAACTTGCCTTCATCACGCTCTGAAAGCATGCATTCAAACTCTCAATTTCTCGCACGAGCCCATCCGTTTTTGCTCTATTCGTTCCAGTACCTACACAATCTCTGAATTCTGGCGCGTGAACTCCAGTTCCGTACGAAAGTTCATTTCAAACTGGAGGGGAAAGTGCGGTGTTTGATTTTCCGCAGTGCGCGGACTGCAGCTGAATGATGTAATGAAGGCAGCGCGCCGCGCATCTGGCCCATAGAAAAGAGATCACAGTTGCATACTCTTGGGTTATGGACTCTTGATGGTAATAATTATGCAGCAGCAGAACTTCATCATACGTTGTCAACGGCAACCATGCACCATACATGTATGATTATACTAGATATTGCAGACTGTTGGGGCGGGGGGGGGGGGGGGGGGGGGGGAGCAGTGAAGCAAGAAGGACTCATGAGTCACTTTGAGTGTGTGTGTGTGATCCCCGGTAGCCTAATCGGTAGGGCACTGTCCCGGAAAGACAGGGGTACTGGGTTCGAATCCCGCTCGTGGATCCTACTTTTGCAAAATAGAGTAGTAGGAAGGATCTCCCGGCGGGATTTGAACCCTGCGCCCCTGTCTTTCCGCTACAGTGCCCTACCGATATCATTCCCGGGGATCGCACACAACCGTGGCTCCTTCTTGCTACACTGCTCCCACGACCCACCGTACCCTCCCCCCCCCCCCCCCCTACCGGCGGCGGCGAGTAGGTATGGGTGGTGTGAGTACACAGCCTGTTGTGGTGGGGAGCAGTGCAGCAAGAAGAAACCACGTCACGGGTGTATGTGATCCCTGGTAGCCTAGTCGGTACGAGGTAACTGTCCCGGAAAGACAGTGGTGCTGGGTTCGAATTCCGCTAGCGGATTCCTCTCTTGCAACACATACAGGATTTCATTGTTCAGCAGTGGCTATAACCATGACACTACTCACGAGTGTGATTCCCAGCAAATGCGTACAAAGACTACAACTGAACGGGAACTTTTTTGTCTTCCCAGTAAAAGTACTATACTATTAGCGGAAGATTCACACCAGCTTGCCAGGCAGTCCACACCGCACAGGGTGATACTGATCCACAACTGAAGTGCACAGAAGAGCTTGAAAGTGAGAGAAACCGAGTCGACTTTGAAAGGAAAAATATCAGGGTGTGTATATAATTGCATGAGAAAGAGTAAAGTCCAATGACATCATTCAAACCTGGGTTCAATGCACTATGAGGTCATCCAGACCTAGATGATATATCTAGATATCAAAAGCAATGCGGTCACCCAGACCTAGATATCAAAAGCAATGATGTCATCAAGTCTAGGCATAGCATTGTAGCATGGTAGCAAGGCACAAGGTGATGCAGTCCGTTACATGTACAGGTAGGTACATGACTGTCTAACAAACAATAGAGAAATGGTAAAATAGTATTTGTGAACAGCATGATCATGATCAGAGGCAAGGAAACCGAATACTGCGAGTGCATTGTCTGTGTAGGTATTGATATGTACAGGTAATGTAAGGATGGAGTTACTCTAGCATATTACTATAGTATACAGTACATGGGCTACAGAGCAAAGTAGAGAAGATCTGGAAGGAAACACCAAGTTACATCATACAAACATCAGTTAATCAAAAATATCAAGTAAAGAATTTGAGTATGGTAAGGCAGTAGTTCTGTGCCGCCTATATCCTGCTCAAATGTTCATATTCAGGGTGTAGAGGTAATCTTGTGTAGCGAGCACCACTACTTCATTGAGTAGTGCTAGTGATGATACACCATACCCGCCATACCGTACACTGGGCAACTCATAGACGCAATGTGTACGTACATTGTACACAGTACACATAATCTTCTCTGAGGCCCAATCATCCCTGGCAATGACTAGACTATCATCAGACAGTGAACATGCCCGGCTCTGCATCAGGTCTACACCATCTGGTTTTACAGCCTCTTGCCAGTGACCATCATCAGTGTACTGGCGGAAACACCCAGTGTTACCACCAATGATGTACAGTGAACCATAACAGGCTACACGTGAGGCATATGCACAGTGACATGGAAGAGCAGGTAGTAAATGTGAGGGGACAGCAGAGGATTTCCACTGCTGGTTAAGCATTGTGTAACAGCTAACACAGTCGCTCGTACCTGATATATTGGTGAAGCCACCTAGAAGACTAACACTAGTGTCAGTAGCATGTACAACACAGCCACGGTGCTGGCCATGCGCCGGCGGCACCTTTGCTACTTTCACCCCCTGCCTATCATGCTGATTGTACTGCAGTAGAACAGCTTGATCTTGGTTGTCATGACAATACAGGTACAAAACCTGACCATTGCTAGCTAGGGATGGGTATTGAAATGGACCGCCATGACGTGGAAGAGGAAGGTTAGTCCAGCCACGCATGTCTGTAGTCTGCTGGATGCTTGTAATGGCATTATGTCCATTGAGCCAGACAGCAACGAGAGTGTTATTGTGGATGATAAGTTTCGGAGTTTGACCACGCCTGGATTCTGCTTTGATCCACTAGAGAAGACACACACACACACGCACACACAGGCACACCCACACACATACGCACGCACGGACACACACACACACACACACACACACACACACACACACATAAATACACACACACCGTACAGCATAATGCCGTTTGGACAACATAACGGTTTTTTTGCTAAGGGTGTCTACTAACTCGAAACAACTGTACAAAGGAACTTATTACAAACTGCTGTGTCGCTTGCGGGTGGGGTGCTGTGTCAACGTGTCGAGGTCGGCTGGGGAGTGCAGTTTTGGTGTGGGGGTTGATGAAAAAACTTAAAAACTCGTTATATTCGAAAATCTCCAATACGGCTGTTCCTAGTATTCCAAGGATCGGATGCCGGTATTAAAAAAATACACAGACGGAATATGTGCTGTACAGTCTTTTGCCTCCGTTGTTTTGTGTCCATATATAGTATGCTATGTTTTTTTCCTTGATCATCTTGATTTTAATCTGGTTCCTCCTTGGACAATATTATCTGACAATAAAAGTTTGGGGCACCTGGGACATGGACCAGTGGGTGTTTTGATAACGTATTTTAAGTCCGGATGAATTAGTTTGTAAACGGATCTAAAAACAGTGGCATAGACCATGGCTTGCAGGGCATTTCAGATTTCTATCCACTAGCAGGGTTTAATGACCAGCCGGACCCGCTATACTGAGGGAGGACCTGATCCACACAGCAAAATCATGGGGAGGGGGGGGGGGGAAGGAAGAGAAAAATTCCAACCACGTTGTACTATACCTCTCTCTCCATTGTGATGCGCCGAATCTTCTCCGGTGTGATAGTCAGAGAATGTGCGGCGGGTGCAGCAGAGTGCTGTCTAGAACTGTCACCAACCTACACACGTATCCAGGGTAGAATGTGAATAGTGGAAGGTAAGCAACACACACATACACACACACATACACACACATACACACACACATACACACACACATACACACATACACACACACATAATATTATTTTAGTACGCACACGCACATTCAAGCAGATGCACACATACACATACATGATTGTATGTACACATGTACTGCGAGTACACATACATTGCACTTGTACTTGCTCACTGCCAAAAACTGGTCACGTGGTCTTCCCGGGAGAGGGAAGAGAGATTCAAAAGGCATCTTGGAAAGATGACTCAATTGGCTATTGAACCGCCCAACGGCTGACACCCCCTGAAATCCCCAAACTCTCGGTGGACTTGGAAATAATCCAACTTATGGGCTCACTACCCAGCAGTAAGTGGGCGAGGAGAAGGTGCAGAAGAGGATTGACGACATTCGAGCACGCATGCACACACTCACGTGGTGAAAATCAGGGAGCTGTGGCATTTTTGAGGAAATGGAATATTTTTATGCAAAATGATGTGTATCAGGACTCATGGTCGTGCGCACCCGCACATACACTCATTATGCCTGCTCAACAACCCAAACTCCAGCCCAGAATGACCATTCAACCCCCCCCCCCCCCTCCTCCTCCCCCCCCCCCCCAATGATTGCCTGTCTTTGGAGAGCAAGACGTGGTCTCACGCTGCAGCGCAGAATCGGCTAATTTCGGAGTTTCATTCTGCCTGGATTTCTCTACCGCTACAGCCCCTAGTGCACAGCCCTGACTCAAACCCATCTTCATCGTCGGCAAGTTGTGCAGAACTGAGGTGAAAAGGCACTCTTTGGGAGACTGCACTTTGAAGCAGCACATGACCTGCTAGAACGTATGTCAGTCTACGGAATCCGTAAGCTACATGTTCAGAAGGTACTGTCACTCATGTGGCGCTGCCTTCATGGACGTACCAGTCCCACACTTAGAAGCACTCTTCAAGCTGGGCGATGGCCACTCAACCAGGCTCCGAAACACACAACGGCTTGGACACCCCTGTCAGCTGAAGCCATGCTGCGCATTGTTGGCTTGCCTCAACAGACAGCACACTGTGCAACTTTCTAGCACCTGCACTACGATGCATCGTGTCGGCTTCAGAGTTTCGCCTGGCAGTCGTACCCTACTCACTTCAATAATAGGACACTATTCATGGATGACCACTTTGCTAGCTGTACATGTATGTATGTAAAGGATGTTGCCAGCATTGGCAGCAGATTGTGCAGCTGAAACAAACATATGTGACGCAGGGAGCTGGAGATGCATACTCGCATGACTCTAACATTATTAAACATGGAAAATAATCAGTCCTGTAGCCGACATGGGGCCACACCACCACACTTTGCAGCGGGATTCAGGCAAGCGTTTTTAATATTTAATTTTTTAATCTCTTTTCACTTTCTCATTGACTGGGCCAAGGTGAAGCATGCCTTTTGCACTATACACATCAGTTTTGCTCTGGATACGATGTCACATTGTACCCGAGGAAACCAGGCTCCGTCTGTACTACGCCATCGTCACACCAATACTGTTAAGCGCGATGCATAATATCACTTCTGCGACACGATGAGCGACGAGTGATGCGATCGAGAGTTTTTCTGCAAAATTGGAGACTGACAGAGGCTGCACTGGAGAAGCTGAACGCCTTCCACAAACGCCGACAACAGAATTTATTCAGATTTAGGTATCCCAAAATCTTCTCCAACGAAGACCTATATTCCAGAGCACACTCACGCACGCACGCACGGAGGCATGCGCGTGCACCCCCCCCCCCCCCTCCCCCCCACACACACACAACCACTCTCTCATACTACTGTCCTCTGCCATTTCCGGATGCTGGATCATGGCTTGAGGATGCTTTCAGACACCCTGCCACAACAGACAATGGACAACTACTTCTGTTTAAAAGAAGTAACCGATGTGCGTGGACACCCGAAATCGAAACTGGCCATGGCAGTAAAGGCAAGCGCTGCTCTCAGAGACATGCCACTGAAGACCGTGAATGATCTCAGTGAGCTGAGACAACATGCTTTGTACAAGCAATCATGTAGAACTCTTAGCCTGAGCTGATTTGGTTCACGCATGCAATGCACGGAGTAGTTGTTCCCAGACAGAAGCAGTCCAGGCATCATGACTTTGCGCATAATTATGTCGTTATGCTGCTTCATTACGCGCCCTGTTCTATTCTCATTATTCTTACTGCCAACACCAATCAAGATTATTCCGCTTACACTAGAAACTGGAGTGCTCCTGGTGGCTCCGGTTGCCGCACTAGAAGTCGATCTTCCGCTAGCACTGGCCATTGCTGATCGGCCAGAGTCACTGCCACTTCCCGAACTCTGAAATGTAAAGAACGGCATAAGCATGTACATGTACACACATTTACACATCCACCACCACCCCCCCCCCCCCACACACACACACACATACACACACACACACACACACACACACACACACACACACACACACACACACACACACACACACACACACACACACACACACACACACACACACACATACACACATGCACACATACACACACACACACACACACACGTCAGTGTACGGTCGCAAAGACTTGCACACATGTACATACATCCAAACACACACAGAATAAGAGCTGACGGTCGGCTGTGGGGTGTGCAATATGGCTGTCCTCAGCTGACCCTACACTACTTATGGCTGATGTGAAGTGTGAGAAAGAATCAACATTGTCGACATCTCCACCACTGGGGTACATGCAAGTTTGCAGGGTCTGTCAGCGTAGAAACATCCTTGTTCTGGTATTGAAACTGACCAGCATACTCTCCTCAAGTAATGTATTGCAATGGCAGAAGGTTTTAATTCTGTGATCAGGATGAGTTGCTTGTGGACTAAAGAACCATAATTTTGTTGAAACATTCAAAACAATTCTTCGCAATCTCCTATAACGTTAAATGGCATGCCGTTGAAGGTAGTGTACTAATAAATATAGTGATAAACGCAGATATGTGTGCTTTCAAAGAAAAGGCATTGGTGTTTCATATATAAACAAAAATTGCTCAAATCAATGTATGTTCATGCCTTCTCTTTCTTTCACATACATTTGAGTCATAACTTGAAAGGGTTAAAAACAGACGTTAATGAATAGCCTTCACACACATTCTTACCTGCAGTGCAGAGTGAAGTTGCGATAGTTGAACTCTCATTCCTCTGTTGGTCCCATCTAGCTGCTCACTGATGGATGCTTGTAGGTCTGTCTGTTGACTGGCAATTACTGCTACATGTTCTTGCAGGCTGGTGACTTGCTGGTTTGTAGTCTCCAGTTGGTCACGCATCTCAGTCACATGCCGGTTCGTGTCTACAAGGCGGTCGTGCATCCCGATCACATGCTGGTTGGTAGTCTGCAGCTGGTCGCATATCCCAGTCACTCGCTGGGTTGTGTGTCCCAGGCGGTTATGGATCCCGGTCACTTGTTGGCTCGTAGTCTCAACGCAGTCACGGACGACAGTCACTTGCTGGTTCGCAGTCTGCAGCTGGCCCTGCATCCCGGTCACTTGCTGGTTCGTAGCCTGCAGTTGGTCACGCATCCCGGTCACTTGCTGGTTTGTAGCCTGCAGCTGGCCACGCATCCCGGTCACTTGCTGGTTCGTAGTCTGCAGTTGGCCACGGATAGCGGTGGTTTCCAGCTGAGTGTCGACAAGACGCTGTGTCATGCTGCTGAGTTGGTCCTCTACTGCAGAGCTGCGTGCGGTGATGTCAGCAATGCATGTAGCTTGCTGGCTTAGCTGCTGTGAAATCGACTCTAGTTGCCTGGTAACCCGTGTACCAGCAGTGCTAGGCTGATTCTGTACAACACCATCAAAAACACACAGCGGACAGAGGGACACAGAAGGACAGACAGAGGGACAGACAGACAGAAATAAATGCAGATAGAGAAATAGGAAAGTGGATAGAGACAGATACACAATCAGACAGACATTTTAACCCTTTCAGTGCCGCTGTCGACTCCAGTCGACAGCCCATTCATGCACTCTAAGTGCCGCTGTCGACTGCAGTCGACCAGCAAGAATGCAGTTCCCAGTGCCACTGTTGACTGCAGTCGACAGGCTGACTTCGCCCAGTTTGGGCCACTATTTTGGGGTATTGGAGATGTTTAGCTGCCATAGAGGGTTAATGGGCCCTGGAAGAGGTCCATATCCATTGAAATACGCTGCCAGGAATAGGGGTTGCCATTAGAAAAAATCGAACCAGCGTCGTTGAAAATGTGTATCTGAGTTTTAGCCGAACGGCGCTAAAAAATACGGTTCCCACGCACTTCCACCTCACTGAGTCGGTGAGAATATATTTCTATTTCCCGTCAACTTTCATTGCATGGAGCATGGAATTTGGTTCAGACTTGATGGCTATAGTGCGTTTCAAAAGTATAGACCTCTAGAATTTTTCAAATAATTCAAATTAGGTTTGAGCTTTTTTGTAAAATTTCTTCGGAATATTGCTCAGGCAGCTCACGCAATTTTTCTCATACTTGTATAAATTTCTAAGCGATTGGATAACAGACGCGCAATTTCGAAAATGTTATGCACAAAGTGATCATAGATTTTATGGGGGATAGATGCTGGCCTAACGGCTTTTTGAAACCAGAATTCTGGACTTTTGAAACGCACTATAGCTATTACCCAAGACTCCAGGCGGTTATCCATTGCGACAGGCGGTTGGAGTCACGGGTAGAGAACCAAACGACGGATTCCTCACGAACGCATTTTGGATGCAGCTATGCACAAACTTGACGGAAAAAGCGCTGGCGGCGCTCGCCGGGTCCAGAACTAAATTTTCCTGAGAACTAAAACATTGCAATGGCGACCAGCACGGTCAAGGGACACTACAGGTGTGTCAGCTACAAGTGTAATAATATTATTCTTTCCGCAACGACACCCACCTCAATACCTGACGATCTACTGCAAGCTGGTGCGGAAGTGATACCGCGAACGAAGCGCTTGTCAACGGAACAGGGAAGCGCTTCATTCTCCGACGTTGAAGAAATGTGCGTGGACTGCTGACAATCAGGAGAACAAAGGACCACCATGTTGGCAGAACTATCAGCGGCTGTTCAGCGACACTATCCCCTTCACGAAACGACTCGCGATCGTTCCCCAAGCTTTCTGCAAACAACAAGAAATGCGTCCGCAGCGACAGGACGAAAGTCTCTCGAAAACTGAAGGCCTGTTGCCACGAAGACAGGGAAGTTTCAGCAAGCACTTTCTTCTGTTTCAAGTATTCTAGCCCTTCGGTCCACTGGCAGATCTTTCAATCAAATCGAACGAAAAACAGGATTTGCTTCTCTCTCCAAAACAACAACTAACTTAATGTCTTTACTTCGCAACTGGCCGGGCCGTATGGTATACATGTAGTGTCAACTTGGCTAATAACGACTGCGGATATAACGACAATTCGCGAATAACGACAGAATTTCCTTGCCCAGAGCAAAGTCCCATCCAACTGTAATACATACATTGTATAATGAGACTTCGGTTATAACGACACTTGGCGAATAAGGACACTTTTCTGATGCCCCGCCGAGTGTCGTTATCCGCAAAGTTGACTCTACTGTATGTAGTGCATGCGGCGCGTGGCGCACTTTCGCATTACATGATCACATGACTTGCTGCACAGCGGCTGGCGCTAGAACGCTCAGCGCGCTTGTCCTTCGGATTTTGCGATATTTTTCGAGGGCAATGGCTTCCTTTATCAGTTGGCTACCTACGATGTATAATTCAGGCCGTCATCACACTACGTTCTCCGACTCCCGTTTACGTCTACGTCTATTGTGAGAAAACAAAATGGGTGGTCGTGTCACCAGACAGGCACAGTTTTTGACGTGTTTACGCAGTCAGGTTTTTGGAGAAATTTGAACCCACGTACATCGAAATACAGGGTCGCTCGGAAAAGGCTGGGGGAGATACGTGTAGACATCTATTCAGTCACTCACAAGACAGCCATTGTGCTAAACAGATCTTCTTTAGTTCTCTATCAGAAGTGCGCCATGTCATCTCTCTCGTGCTATACATAAAGCGGTACAAGCACGGCATGCCTGCACGTGCGTACATAGTACTACATACAACTGCATGTACGATATCTACATTACCCCCCTTCCCTCAAAAAGAAAAAAAAAAAGAAGAAAGAGAAAAAAGGAAAACTAAAACAAACAAAAAAACACTTGCATCCGTATCCTGCAGCTTGCAGAGGAATGTACGTACATGTGTTGGAGTAAAAGAGAGACGGGAAGTGTTGCAACTATTAGAAATAATCTGACTCAAAACTTGAGGCAAAAACACCATGAGTTTGAGTTACAATGCAAACTCGACCAATAAGGGGAAAAAATAAAGAAAAATCTAAATATTCACAAGGTAGTTAGAAGATTCTAAACAACGCCAATCTGGTTAGAAGATTCTAAACAACGCCAATCTGGTAGCGATTGAAGCCACTCATTTGGTAATGCATGACTCGACGACTCAGATGTCAGCTTCACGTGCTTTCTCTGTAAGCTTGATCTGACGGCCAGCTCTGGTCTGTACGCCCTCACGGAATACACTTGGACGAGAAGTTGGCGGTGACAGTGACATACAGGCCGGTGTTGCAGGTGATGCTGTCGTCTCCGGTGAAGCTGCAGGAGACAACGGCAATGTGAGCGCAGTTACCGGAGCTTCGGGCCTGGATGTTGCGCTGCTCGCTGACGGAAGGCTTGTTGGGTCGGACACTGGCAGTGCTGGAGCACACACTGGCTCTGGCACATGCTCCCTCTCTGACTGTGCCGGAGGTTCACTCATGGGTGCTTTCTCCGCTGCTGCTGCTGCTGGTGCTACAAACTCGGTAACATGCTGACGGTTCCGGAGCAGTATGCGTGACCCATCAGTGACCCCAACCTGACGACCATACTGCTCTACTACCTTCCATTCTTTTCGAGGGTCGCTGTACCCATCATGGAGCACTACCCGCGTACCTGATGGCAAATGGGGTAACTTGCGGACACCTCGGCGCGAGTCATGACCTTCAACCATTGCTGCTTTCGCCTTGATCTGCTCAGATGGGTTGACGATCTGTGGGGTGATGGATGCTGGAACCCGTGTCCGAATGACTCTGCTGAACAACGCTTCGCTCGGCGATGTACCTAGCATCCGGTGCCGCGAATTGCGAATGTCGAACAAGACTTGAGTGATGCGGCGGTGTAGCGGTAGATGAGGTCTCAGGCTGGCAACTCGTTCTTTCACCAGACGATGTAGTCGCTCCACCATACCGTTAGAGCGGGCATACCGGGGGCTAGACTTGCAATGCTCAACACCCAACTGAGCGAGAAACTTGGACATCTCAGTGGATGCAAACTGTGGGCCCCAATCCGAGACGAGTGTTGAAGGCAGACCAAACCGTGCGAACAACTCCATCAGCTTGTCGATCACACCCGTTGTCGTAGTATTGGACAGTGGTAGAAGCTCTGGCCAGCGGGAACCATAATCAATAGCAGACAGGAACGTGGCTCCCTCAATGGTAACAAGGTCAATGGCCAGTTTCTGCCAGACACCTTCTATCTCTGTAGGGAGGAGCTGTTGCGCTGGATTGGAGCGTTTACGCCAGCATTCAGAGCATTTCTCTGCAAACAGATTGGCATCCTTCATGAGACCTGGCCACCAAACCCGTTCGCGAAGGGTATCCCGGAATGCATCGATGCCTGGATGACCTTCATGTGCTAGTCGCAGCACCGCTGGGCGGAGCTCTTCTGGAATGACGTAGCGATTGTCTAGCATGACAATCCCTTCAATGACTGTCAGCTGATGGCGTAGCAGGAAGTAAGGCTCTTCCGTTTGGATGCACCCTGACCAAACTGATGTGCCCACTCTTTGTCGGACGCTGCTCAGTGTCGGATCAGAGTCCGTGGCCTGGCGAATATCCTTGGAACGAACCGGACAAGCCTCGAGAATGAGACTAACGAATTCCGCCATTGAACGTGCCTCTGCAGGTGAAGCTGTGCGATCAGGTAGAGGAGCTCGAGAGAGGGTGTCAGCACAAACCATCTGCTGGCCAGGGACGAACACCAAGCTGTAGCGATAGGGCATCAATGCGACCAGCCATCTCTGAAGCCTCGGTGGCACTTCGTCGAACGGCTTCTGGACGATAGAAATAAGCGGCTTGTGATCCGTAAACACTTGCACTTCTCGGCCTAGTACATACTGCCGAAAGCGAGTCAGGCCGAATACCACTCCCAGCATCTCTCGTTCCAGCTGAGAATAGCGTGACTCAACATCTGATAGAGAGCGACTGGCACATGTCACTGGTACCCAACAGCCACTGGTATTCTTCTGCCACAGGACTGCTCCCAAACCGTCTGGCGATGCATCACAGCTGATAGCAGTAGGGACGTCTAATGCTGGTTGAAAGAATGCCAACGCTTGCAAAGCTGACGCTATACCAGCCTTTGCTGAGGTGAATGCCTGCAGGACTTCATCATCCACACTGAAGGGATCACGCTTTGCTAGCCTGCGCAGAGAAGCCGTGATCTGGGCCAAGTTCGGAATGAACTTTCCAAGGTACGTAGCCATCCCCAGGAACCGTCGCACATCAGAGATAGATTTCGGAGGGGCCAGCTCCTGGATGGCTTGTAACTTGTCATCATCTGGGGACAAGCCGGTCGCACTTAGCCAATGTCCCAGATACTTCACACGGTCCTGGTTCAGTCGGCACTTGGTCCAGTTGAGTTGGAGGTTAGCTGCTCGCAGTCGCTGCTTGACTGCTTCTAGCCGTGCATCGTGTTCTGCTTGATTGGAGCCAAACACTAGGATGTCGTCGATGTAGACGA